CCTCAGAATTGCAGTTACAATAGTATGTTTAAGTCATACTACTTCTTAAAAAATTATAATTAATCACATGTTAAAAGATTAGTATCTTGTTAAAGTAACTAAAAGTCAATATATTAGGAAGATACAAGTATATGGGTATTCTGACACATGGGCTTGCTTAATAAAACTTTCAGAGGTAAAGCCATTCCATATCCCCATCCCCATCACTGATGATATTATTGTATACATATATACTTACGCTCAGAAACACAGGTACTATCCATAGCAGGATTCAACTAACTAGTATTTGTTGAGGGCCTATAATATAGTATGCACTATGATATTACTAAAGTGAACCAATATTGAGTGCTACTGAAGTGAACCAATACTCATTCAACTCACTTTTATTGAGTGCCTATTCTAGGGCACACACTGAGGATTCAAGGGGGAACCAGAAATTGTTCCTGCCATTGCAGCTTATAATGTAGTGAGGGTAGAGAAGACTTTCAGGAGTTGGTGACATATGGAGAGCTAAAGTGAGAATACCAGATGAAGGCCCCTTCTTAGAGACAAAGAGATAAGAAACAGCATGCTGTTAACAGGAAAATATAAGCAGTAAGGGGAAATGTCAGGAGTTGAGGCTGATAGATAGGCAGGGTCCAGTTCTATAGTCACATTATGGAGCTTAGATTCTATCCTGTAGGTAAAAGGAAAACAACATAATAGTCTTAAGCAGGAAAGTGGTGTCATAATCTAGCAACAGGATGGAGATGGATGTGAAGGTGACAAAGATGAAGGCAAGACAACTAGTTAGTGTGATGAAAAAGGCCTGAATCAGGGAAGTGGTGGTAGGGAGGAGAATAATAAAAGTTTGGGTCATATATTGTTAATACTTGCTGATTGCTTAGTTGTGAAAATTGTGAGTGGGAAAGAGGAACAAAGGATGAATAACAAGATCATAGAGGTACATTTAACTGAGATGGAGAATACAGAAATAGGTAAGATTTTTTGAGGGGCTGGGACAGGGGTGTGAGTGTGTGTGTGTGGGTGAAATGAGTTCTGTATTGAGTATGTTGAATTTAAGATAAGGATGGGTCATAAGGTAAGAAAAACCAGATAACGGTCTGAGCAGAGTCTGGTACAGAGATACATTATTGGGGGGACATCAGATAATTGAAACCATGAAGAGTCAAGATGAGATCATCTAAGGAGAACAAACAATGAGAAGAATAGTAGGCTGATAACAAAACCCTGGGTAGTACTGGTATTCAAGGGGCAAGAGAGGAAGAGAAGCCCATGAATGACACAGTTAAGATTTAGCCACAAAAATACAAGGAGAGTGAAGTGACCAAGGAATTTCTGGGGGATTTTGGCTGGAAAAAATTTTTTTAAATCAGGATTTAAATACCTTTAGGCAAAACATATACTTTCCAGTTCAAGTAAGGCCCCATCACTACTCATACTGCATCATTGTCTGTGACCTATCTTGCCTCTGAAGGCCTGTGTGCTTGTGACTCCCAGAGTAGAAGCCTCCAAGAAAGGGAGTCATTATAATTATCATATGCAGCCATGAGGACCAGAAAGGGAATAAAAGATGCCCACTAATTTAGCAACGAGAGGATCACAGGGGGATGAGAGCATGAGTGGGGGGGGAGGTTGGGGGTTAATGGGGGGATGAAGACACATTTGTAATACCTTAACCAATAAAGAAATTTTTTAAAAAAGAGGATCATGGTGATCTTAAGGTCAGTTCATCTGTGGTCATGGTGGCAGAATCCAGATTATAGAGGGGTGAAAATAGATATGGAGAATGTAGCAACACTGAAGAAATTTGGAAAAGGAAGGAAGAGAGACTAGACAGTAACTAGAGGGGAAATATAGGTCTAGGAAGGCTTTGGTTTTATTTTGTGTTTAAAGAATCATTCTCTTAATATGTTTACAAGCTAAGCCAGTAGAGAAGCCGTGGAGTATTAGAGAGCCAGGGGCTGCCTGATGGAGCATTATCTGAGAGAAGGCTATGGAAGGTACAAGTAGAGGGTTGAGCTTTTGGCAAGTAGAGAGACTCCTTGACCTCAGAGGTTGGAAGAAGTGAGCACAGGAATTCAGACCTAATTAAGATCCAATGCGGTTTTACCGCAGGGGAAAAAAGTGACATAATTAACTCTGTTTTAAGAAAATTAGTTTGGCACAAGCATGCAGGATAGATTAGAATGGGGAGAGGTGGCTGTCTGTGCCAATAATTCAAGCTGAAGATAATGGCAACCCAAACTAGAGTGGTGCCAGTAGAAATGCATAAAATTTTAAAAATCTAATAGACATTTCAAAATGCATGATGACATAATTTTGGGACAGATGGGCATTCAAAAAGAATGAAGAGGTAAAATGACTTAAGAATTTGAAATATTACCCCAGGAAATTATAATGGTGTTATCAGGGTCAGAAAGGGGGCAACTGGAATGTACAGCCAATCTTGGGAGGGGAAATGCTAGGTTTAAAGTATACTGAGATTGAAGTGATGGTTCTCAAAATTTAAGTTTTTTAAAAAAAGCTAAGTCCTTTACAAAACAGATGACTGCACAGAGAATGGAAAAAAGAAGAGGTGAGACAGAATAAGAAATATTTCATTCATATAGGGCAACTCTAACACTCGTATGCCAGAAAAAATTAAACAGAACCTGATATTTTAGATGTCTCAGAATTAACTATTTCCTAAGGATCTTACTTTAGCTACTAAAAAAAGTTTTCCTACCATTGACAGACCAGAGTCTCAGATCAAGTAAAATGTTCTCCTAAACATTTAATCTTTTATCAAATCTCAGACATTTGATGTCAAATGTTGCGAGAATGTGTACAATACAAAGTAATTTTCCAAACTATATGCATTGGTTAGCAATTCAATACTGGTTTGCTGCTTTTCAGGTTTTGGTTTGAATTAATACCAACAGTTGCTACCAACACCACCATTTCATACTCCTAATTCCAGAGTCTTTAAACTGGGAGGAATATTATACCTATAACAAGGACCACCACATGGCAAGTGTCAGTGCTTTGCTTTTAATTAAAAATAGGTTGGTAAGTACTTCACCATGATTGTGTGAAGAGTAGAATGGAACCACAAGTGAGTTTCAGGGAACTTAAATTCTGTTTTCTTGCTCCCTGTCTGTTCTCTGAACTTTAGAAAATAATAGGGTGAGGAGTTCTGGAATATAAAATATAGCCTGGAATAAAAACCCTTTTTCTGTTCAGTCATGTTAAATAATCTGCATGAAAGTAACCTTTTGCACCATAATTAGTTTGGGTAAAAAAAAAAAAGTCTCCCTAGTGATAAAAGGGATGAAATTAAAACAGTGCAGAAAGCTGGCATCTGGCCATTATAGTCTATTGATAACATTCTTGGACCAAGAGAAACTATTAAAATTACCTAACCAAGAAGCAGGTGTAAAAATATCCCCAAACTCATCCTGTATTTAAAAATCTTTCTTAATACATTTCATGCAAAGACTACAAAAATATATTACAAAGAAAACACTCAACATGTTAAAATCAAAAGCTAACATGATGGGCCCTGGCCAGTTGGTTGGCGTGTTCTCCTATGCACCGAAAGGTTGTAGGTTTGATTCCTGGTCAGGGCACATACCTGGGTTTCGGGTTCTGACCTAGTTGGGGCCTGTGGAAGAGGCAACCAACCGATGTTTCTCTCTCATCTATGTCTGTCTGTCTCTCAAAAACAGTAAAATATATCCTCGAGTGAGGATTAAGAAAAAAAGGCTAACATGATGGAGGGAAGTGGTATAATATGTATATGATAACATATGATTTCAGATAATATAAACTCAGTTGAAAATAAAAAAGGCTAGGGGAGCCATTATCAAAATCAGAGGCAGCATGACTTGATAGTAAAAAAAAAAAAATAGCTCTATTTGAAAATGCAGTATAAGATAGCATAGTTAAGAGCATGAACATGACCCAGTACTCAAACTTTCAAGTATTTACAACCCAAGCACATAAAAATGAGAATGAAGTCTTCAAAGCCCAGAGAACCATTAACATTTCCTTTTACTTTGCAACTATTATGGTATGAGGTTCCCCTTTTTATTTTCTCAAATATTACCCAAAATTTCATTTAAAAAAGTCATTCTGCATTAGTTTTTACAATACCATCCTAGGCTTCCGAGGTACTAATTTTCATATATATATTTAATGTTTGCATATTTAACGTTCTGGCATACAAAATCTCTTGCAAGTACGTATCTTAAATTATCTCAGAGCTGAAAGTTTTTAGAAACCATCTATCCAAAAACCCTAATTTTACAGACAGAGAAATAAAAGCCCAGAAAGGTAAGTAACCTGACCAAGGTCACAGGGTTAGAAAGAAGCAAAGCTGGGACTAAGAACCAAGAGCCCTCACTTTCAATCCATTACTCTTTCTACTTTTCATAGCTGCCTTTCAACCTGAACCTCTTTCATAGCTTTCTTTCAACCCGAACCTCTAATTGTGTGATATTTAGGGCAAGAGAGTGAGAGTGATCAAGACATGGAAAGGATAACCATTTATTCATTTAAGGACTGGATAGGAAGAATGGATGGATGATTATGTAGGTGGGTGGGAATTCTATGTCATATTTCTGTTTTGAAGAAACCAAGTCTAGGTCTTGTCAAATATCACAGCAGTCACCGTATTCCACCAGACACCAATCTTAGCAGCAAATAATCTGACACATCCTGCAGTTATTCACTTGCCAGCGTACACAGAGAAGCAAGGACACTCACCTTCTGGCTCCCGAACTCCTCACTCCCCTGTCCTATGCTCACTATTTACCTGGTTTTGGTGCATCACATTTGCATTCTCATTTCCTATACACCTCCCTCTCGCAGATTTCTCCATTTACATCAGGTGTCATTTCCTAAATGTATGCTTCAGTAAGCCCCCCCGCAGCCCCTACTCCACTGGCCCCTTGATCACCTTCTCATTTGTCGCCATATCTCAGCCTTTAAAAACCCCATAACCCCCTCTCGCTTACACGGTGATGTGGCCGGCGCCCCGCACCAGTACAGGGTCGGGGGCATATCTCCGCAGGTGCTCCTCGCTCACTACCCGAGGCGGTGGCGGCGTTTCCTCCTCTTGCTCCTTCTCCTCTTCCTCTTCTTCCTCCTCTTCTTCCTCCTCCTCATCTCCCTCGTCATCCTCGAGCCCCGATACAGACGATGACGACGACGGCGACGACGAGGACGAGGACGTAGCTGCTTCTTCCTCCTCCTCCAGTTCCGAGATGGTGTCGAATTCCGCCATGTTGGGCAGCAAGATGCTCATCACGTGACCTCTCGATCGCCGCCACCCTCACGCAGGAGAGTTTGAACTTGCTGAGATGCTGGAAGTTCAGGGAGAAAGAAATGAAGAGAGAGAGCTGTATGGCAGGGAACGGGTTTGAGGAGATGCGCCTGCGTATTATGGTAGACAGGATGGGGTTTGGAGGCGGGGGCACGATGGAGAAAAGAGCAAATCAGTGTACGCTTGCGCAGCTCTAAGCGAAGAGGGGCGGTGAGATGAATGCCAGGGAATTAAGGAGATCCGGTCTTCTAGTGCTGATCTTAATACTGCTCTTTGGTCTTCTGCTGCTTGTATCCGGAGGACTTATCTTCTAGTTTTACT